TAAACAATATACATTTTGTTAAAGATAATGTGTGCTTCGTGGCAAACTCATGTAACACTCGGTATTCTCTGAAACAATGCTAGTCTGTAGTAGGTACTCATTACTCCCTTCAACTTTTTTATTAAACCTTTTTTCTACCTCCTATAAGTATAGAGCTATTGTACCTGAGCGCAGTGTTGGACAACCTGTACATCGTTCTCATCAAGAAAAGATAATATATATTAATCTAAAAAAAACATCGCCTTACACTTTCTAATAATTACATCCTGATATGATATTAAAATGAGTACTTTTATTCTTATCATTATCAGATTATTACTTCGGTTAATGTAAATGATTAAATCATTTTTCTCTAATATTACGATTAATGGATAATAGAGTTTAATAATGCATGAGATGAAAAGCTTGCATTTGAAATTTACCTTTTCCCTACTCAGTGCACGATAAGGCGGTACTTTATCTACCTAGTAACAAACAAAGTAATAAAATACGTTATTCTTAGCGTCAATTATATACAAATGACAAAACTGTTGAGTAGAAATCTGTAATTTCTACTTACTTGTTGCTTTAAATCAATGTGCTCTTTCTGGGCTTCTGTTTTAAGTTTTTCTCCTGCCCTGCATAGATCTTCAACTAACTGCATTAGTCTGTTACAATCAGGAGAATCTTCACCGAGTACAGCTCTTGCCTTTTCTTGAACTTCGTTAAATGATACTACCTCCTCGCCTAAAAAAAAAATATTTTTACAAGTGAACTTCTGATAGAAAAATCGAGACGATAATTATAATTATTTAATATTTATTGTAATCAGAGTTACGGTAGGGGAGGCTGGAGCAAAATAGGATATTTAAGAGAAACATCGTTATTGAAAAAAATATATACTGTTTGATAGAATACCTTTTACTCACATAACATTACGCATCAAGTTTAAATACTCAAAACTTTCTACAAGCTAAATCACTTAACTTTATGATAATGAGTAACAACAATAAGAAACACAAGTGGTCGGGGAATGATGAGAAATGACAAGTTTCTTTTCAAGCACACTTTATTTCTTGGGCTTTCTAATTTTTTTCTTTCTAAATTTAGTATCCCGTTATGCCCTGACTATTTTGACCCAACAAACATTTTTTGCATTTAAACCAAGCACTTCTAACCTAACACGGCGATGACTATGAAAAGTACCTAATATGAAACTCCGATACTACTGCTATAATCTTAGTTGTTGATTGTCATAAAAATTAGGCACAAATTTCGTTTTTTCTCACAGTATAGCCAAAAGAAATAGCGACACGTCCCTATTCGACTGACTCATGTAAGACGACTTAAGTTCTGCCGAGGATACATATACGCATACGAGTTACTCTTACATTAGCGCCCGTCCCGTTTTGCCCTGAACCTAGTTCTGCTCCGGCCTCCCCTAGGGGTTGTAAAAGTTTATTGTTTGTGAAAGCTAAACAGGTCATTCGCATCCTCATGCGGAGCCTTTTAAAGGAAAGTACTACCCGCATCTCTTGGAAGTAATTATGTACAACTAAGAAAAGTGGAATATTCACAAATAATGAACAATTCCTGTTGTAGCTCTGATTCCAATAAACAGCAAGTAGGTTAGGATAGGTTTTAAGGAAAGGAAAATTTTTGAAGACAACAGTGCCAAAAATTGGCCATTTTAATTTTTATAATTTTAATACACTCAGTGATACCGTCATAATTAAAATGAATCTAAAGACTATTCTCAAGTTAAAATCCATTAAGCTATTAAGCGTGCCAAAGAAATACATACATACACTTGAAAAACATAGTCCTCCTTCTAGTGCAGTCAAGTACAAGGAAATGGTAAATATATCATTATTTAAGTTAAGTATTACTAATACCCAATAAAATAGACTAAAACTTAATAAGTTCACTGACTACAATGTTTTATTAAAAATACAGTTTCAATTGTAATTTCGAAATATACAAATTCCGTCAAAATCTTTTTGCTGTATAACTTCTGTTATTGTGGAAACCATGAATATGTACTTACCGAAATTAGACACATAACATTCATCTATCTCTCCATAACCTTCAGAAACTACTTCCTTGTCCATCATTTGAGCAATCTTTTCTTTGGCGTACATTAAATCATTTTCTAACACTCGCTGCTTTTCAAGAAGTTGCTCAATATGGTTATCTAAATTAATTCTTTCATTTTCCAGACTTCTTACATACTTTTCAGTTTCATTAAGCTTCTCAGTTAAATCCTCTTTAAGTGTATTTTCATCAAGTGGCTGTCGAGTTAAAGACGAAATTCTTTCATTTATTGTGATGCTTTTGTTTCTATTTGAGTGTATACTTGCTGTTAACGCTAATATGTCGTTTGCTTCGTCTCTAAGTTTACCGAGGCATTCTGACAACTCATTTTCTAAATCTACTGACAATTCATTAATGTTCACGTCGACGAGAGGAATTGAATCATCTATTGTTGCCAGAATTTCAGTTACATTAGGTGTTATATGAACTCGCTTTGAACATGAACTTGATGAAAAATGTACTGACAATTTGTCGTCAAAATCGACGGACTTGCTGCTTTGCAAATTTCTTTTTAATATTTCTTCTAATAGTGAATTGTTAAGCTCGTTCTCACATTCAGAAAAATATTTCATCAAGTGTGTCACTACGATACGTAGAATTGAAGTACATTTTCGTAAGTTATCTCTGTAAACCGTAAACAATGTTTGTGTTTTAATTATTTAAATTAAGTGCTACATTTTAAACAAACCTCTCTTGCAAAATATCCAATTCCTCTTGAATAAGACTGTTCTCTTTTAAACTTCGCCTTTTAATAGCTCTGTTCAAATTTCTTATATGTTCTTCTTTCAATTTGGCGATTTCTTTTGTATGCTCAGCTGACATATCCATTATTTTTTTTTCATAATGTTCCGTAAATTTACTTCTAAGTTGTAAAAGTTCAGAAGGCCATTCCTCGTCTTCATCCGAATTTGCGACTAACACCTTTAAAAATAATAATATCATCATGCTGTTGTTATATGGCTAGATATAAATACAATTTGAATTAAATTGAGGTTATTTTCCGATGGTAAGAATTTTTCGTTTACCGACCATAATTTGCATTGATATTTTTAGTAAGCTTGAGGACAAAACAGGGAAAATTTACCGAATTTAAGGGCGCTTATCAGCGAGTACTAATTTGAATTTGAGAGCTTCTTTCTATATTTACTTTTTTTTTCTTATAAATAGCTGTAATGAGAAATTTTATACATTTTTCTGTAATATATTTTCATACAATATCATTTTGGACAAAAGCTGGATTATGGAAAGGCATAAAATATAGAATTAAATCCAATGTTTTAGAGATATTTCAATAAACAAAAGTAAATATTCAGGTGTAAGTCACTCGTATCGGTCTGTAATATACGTTCTGTTCAAAACTTCCTCTATGTTGGTATGGCGTTGTTCGTATCTGTCACTAAATGTTTTTGAAATATTTACGATTTTCTAGAAATTTTAAAAAATATGGGTATTCTGTTAGCAGTGATTGCCGTTTGGTAATTTTATTAAATAGTAAAAAAGCAAATAAACAATAAATAAAATAAATAATTAACGATATCAGTTGATAATACTTAACAGCAAATACCCAAAACAGAAAATTAATCCTGGGTCACCATAGGTGTAGTTTACCCCACCACCATTTAAAATTGCTTAAATTCATTCTAAATAAAGCAATTAATAAATCTGTTATTTCTTTTTTGGAACTTTTTATTTCGTATATTAACAACAACAATGTAAATCAAATTTCAACTGTTCCTTGAGAAATTCGCCTTAGCGACTATAGCGTAATCTATTGCGAATCAAAAATTTTTTTGAAACAAAGTCTACGTATATTGTATTGTAATACTAGAACATACATTAAGAAATGGATACTCCGATATAATATTTTGAAGTTACCCCTCGACCCATTAAGAACGGATTTTATGGAAACCGCATTTAAAGCGTTGAAACGGATCAAAATCTTCTAAATATGCCAAATATAGAGTGTTCAGACTAAGTCAGCGATGCACAATAGTGAGCATCGATGGTATTTGTTTACTAAAACTGGCAGCTTGGGCAGATTTAGTTGTGATGACTGCGATGAATTTATGAGACCACCGTTTTGAAAAATTGTTATGTTTACTACAAATCGTGCAATTGTTGATGTAGAGGTATTTTTTGTTTTGTGATAATTGACCTGATAAATAAAAAATATTAATGCTGGACAATGGATTCTACTATTTATAATTACAATGGAAATCAATGGCTTGTCTCAGCTACAGTTTAGGATCTACAAAATTTTTGTACATAGCCAAGTATCTGATAATTGCCCTAGGAAATAGTATTAAATCAAATCAATTAATGTTTTATTGAAGTGCACATACTAAAAGAAAATTTAAAATCGAAAATAAAACAATTTAATTATTATTGATACTTAATAAAAACAACCCAATAAATCAGAATGATAATTCATCAAAGAACAGAAACATATCTTTTAAACATTATTTTCGTGGAACTCAATAGTGTCAAAACTTGTAAATAATGACAACCATCGTGTCCGAGCGCAAATCGGCAGCGATATTCATCGCTGTGCATTGCTGACTTAGTCCGAACACAGCCAATGTTAAGTGTGTATCATATTTATATACTGAGAGCAAAGCCGAGACGGGTAACCGCTAGCATGCTAATAAATAGTTCTTTAATTTTCATTTCTATGTTTATACATTGTTTACGGGAATAGTATTGATGTGTCTGTCTGTAACTTCGAAATAACTGCCTTTTTTAAATTGCTATGGTTATTGAATGCCATTAAGTTACAGAAGACCTTTAATTTTTTTCTGTTGGTACGGGGTAATATACGAAATGGTTGAATCGTTTTTGATGAAACTTTACAGACATAAACAGAAGTGATCTTGACAATTTTTTTAATTGGCTACAAAAATTGGATTTATCTTAAATGAAGGGCCAGCAAATAATCTTAACATCGAAATTGAAGAGACTGAAGATGTTGCTGATTTTGAAGATCCTTCAGAAATTCCAAATGTAGTAGACGAAGAAGAGGAATAACAGCAACGCAAAAGAATTAAAATTAATTAGAATTTTATTTTTTATAAATTTGGTAATTGTATAGTTTAACAGCCACACCTCGGACCATATATCATTATTTAGTGTGTTATAGATGTGATTATGCTGATCATTTTCATATATTTTTGTTATAAATTCAGTACATTTTGGATGAAGTGCGTTCCTATTCCTCCACAAATACATATACTTAGAAAAGAAGTAAAGGTTCAGGAACAACGTGTGGATGTGTCCTCACGTCTCGATTAAAGTAAAAAAGGAAAATAAACAACTTCTCCCGAAAACACTGAAGTTGGTATATTGTATATAATTAAAAGTTTCCAACACTTATTCGCAATTTCAAATGCAGAACAAATCATAAATGCTCAAAACTGTTTTAGCTAAATTAATTTCGGGAGAAGCTGCACCCAGTATTGTTTTAATTCTATAAGGCAATTTCTGAGAAACAAATTTCATCTGTTAACAATACCTACTGCAATTTTATATTTTTCTGAAAATGAGTTATAAATTGTCTGTTATTGTCACTATTAGATGGAGTTACATCAAAATTAGAAGACAAATAGGGGGAGATGGAACGGATTCATACACAAAAATTAGTTATCATTTATTTAGTAGTAAAAACTGTTTGAATATTGAAATTTTTGCTGAGTGCGTGCTAAAACTATTTTAGATTATTATACCAGTGAAAAGAAGTAATATGATAATACCACCAAGAACAAATTGTGATTTAATAAAAAGACGGGGTTTGTATCATTTTACCCCACCTACGGAGCACATTGACGCAAGTAGTGGGGCACTTCGATACAGGTGCAAATTCGTTGGAACATGATTAAAACACGAATTTAAAGTTATTTTTACATTATTTATTCATGTCTAAGCATCTAGTAAATAATACATCAACCTTTTAATTCTGTTACAACGCTATAAATCATATGTAAAAAATATTCTCTTATATTATTATTAATTTAATTAATAAAAAATCTCCGACTTCAATTTTTTTATAATCAGGAACAAAAAAATTCACACTATCATCTTTCGAATCAAGCGCGAAATCTGCTTCATCCTCGTCATCTACAAGAACATATTCAATAGAAGAGTCAGAGAAGGATTGTAAAGGCCTCTCATATTTTTAATCTTTGGTTTCTTTATTTCTGTCAAACCAAACAATTTTCTTACTACTTTCAACTCCTTGGCCTTCTGCTTCATTAATTTTATTTGCTGTTTTTTTTTACTTTTTCATCTCGCAATCCCTCTAGCCTACGTTTTTCCGAAAAATCTGTAAACACTCGATTTCCCTTTCTCTCTTTTTGTCTTTGATAGAGTTCTGTTATTTTCAATTATATTTATTGGGTATGGTCTTCAGGGGACATTACTGTAGAGGATGACCTTCACCATTTGTGAAATTTAATTGGAATTATCCATTAATTCATTAAAAGCATCCTGATTGCTGGGATCAAATACATCGATTGGAGTAAAATCTTCATCTCCAAATGGTTTTGAAAAACCACTTGTAATATTCTTTGGCGTGAATGATTCTAAAAAAGCTGATTTTGTATGTTCAGCAATATAATCTATTGACAAAGACTTTCCTATATTGCATATGTGCCTTTAAAAGACCCAGAAATGTGAGAATCATGATTATCACATATAATCAAGATTGGATTGTTCTTAGTGCATAAGGTATAACACTGAATATATTTCAAAACATCAAGATGTAGTTCTGCAGTCATCCGTCCGCTTCTATTTAACAACCCTAAACTCACTTCTTGAGCACCATTTAAAAAAATGATCTTTGTAGTGGACCCTTGGGAAGAGAGTACATAGGAGGAAGAGCAGCACACGTTCCAAATTATCAAAACTCAACTGCAGTTTTTATTAAAGGAAAAACTTCAGGCTACGCTAATATTCTCAGGTTTCCTCAAGCTGAGTTCCTGATTGCGTTTTCGAAAACCTGCTGCCCAGTGTTTACCATTTTTATTCCAGGACTCTGGATATTTGCATCCCAAATAGCATGTTGGTATGTTAAAACAAGCACTTGCTGTAATATCAGCCCGTAATGCGTTTTAAGTAATCTGTTAATAATTTTTCTTTGTTATCGTAAAAACCTGCGCAACCGTGTATTTAGAGCTAAATGAAGAAAAATCGCTCGAAAGCATACCCTCTCACGCTGATAGCCAAAGGCCTAGTGGCAGACGACACGTTCATAGCCCTTGTTCTCAAACTGGTGTATCTATGTGCTCCGTGCATCAATTTGCCCTACCTCCTCCTATTGTAAATATCTTTTAGATGGTAAACTAAAAAATTTTCTTTATAGCATCGTATCCGCAAGGAGAAGTTGTATATAATATAAAAAACATAATAGCAGATGTCCACCGTCTTCTTTTTAAAAGAAATTTAAACTTTTCTCTAAAAAAATACTTAATTGCCTCATTATTATTATTAATATAACACGCTTCCTTATAACTAAATAACAGATTTTTAACTTTCTCTTTAATATCATATCAAAAGGTAAAAGCCATTTTAGATCAATAAAATTTAGTTGGGATCCCTTTACACAAACTATTACTTTCATACCAGCACTTATTGAAATTTCATTTCATTACTTCAAGACACTCATTATTAAATTTAAA